ATGCCAAAGGCCATATTCTACCATCCCAACATATGCCAAAGGCCATATTCTACCATCCCTGTTTGCCCACCAATAAGAAAAATTATGAATATGTTTTCAAAATCAGTCCAAGTACATTCACAATTCCAAGTGTAAGTAATTGGGGTGGGGTGGGGGGGATACATTCATGGGTCCAAATTAACAACTATTTTAGCAGAAACGTCACAGTGATCTGACCTAGGAAGCACAAATGTACATCTAAAGTGAAAAAATGGGGAAGGAAAAGAAATTTCTAGATAAGGCTTCGCTTAGACAGAAAAACTAAAGGACTGAAGTATAAAGATTGATCAGACACATGGTTCCTCTGCCAACCATTACTTATAAGTATGTTGTGGTTTATAATGCCGTTCTAGAGGTAGGAGACATTGCTGTAAACTGAGGTAAGTAAAGTCCAAATTTATTTTCAATTCCTGCAAATGTGGCAACAGCCAGCTTGTAACCTCCAACATGGTCTGGGTTAGGTGCAGGAAGGGTGATTCTAGATTTAAGTACTGGTTCAGATCCTGCTGGTTTTCTGTAAGGAAAAAAAAATTTTTTTTTTAATGCAACCTTTCACAAAATATCTTTGAAAACAAGTCCTTTCTGTAACCCAAGCCCATTTTTCTCTTTCCTCTTACTAGTGACCCATAACCCCAGATCATAGAGTAATTTGAATATTCACTTTGAACTCTGGAAGTATGCTTTTGCTCTTTGACATTCATTGTCTGGATCTCTCCCACTAGAGCAAATTAGTTAATAAATTAGTACTTACACTCCTCCAAAATCAATATAAAACCATCGCTGCAGTAGCTCATACGTCACTAGGGTTACTCCAAATTGAGGGGACGAACGAAACACACGAGCTGAAAGTAAAATGAAAAACATAATCATATTAACACACAGGCTTATAGAAATACTCCCATACCCTTAATAAATCCCTTCAATTGTTACCTGCAGCTCCTTTCCAAAAAGCCCTTGGACCTTCCTCTCGTAAGATCTTTCCAAAGCAATCAATGACACCACTGTAAGTTGTTTGTCCTGCCCGGGCTGCTACCTGTAACCTTGTCTTGATCACATCTGCAGGGGTCACTAAAGATGCAGCTGGCATTCCTGAAGAAAACGAGAGAGGAAACTATTGTCACTTGCATTCTCAGTTGGATGCAATTTCATATGATTCAACTAAGAGTTTTGACGAGCAAAGTCCACATTTTAATAAAGCTTTTTTTTAAGGAAGCCATCTATTAAATTCACAGTGGAAAAAACAAGACAGAAAAATATACTCTAATACAGGGGTCCCCAACCGCCGGTCCGCGGAACAAGCCTTACCGGGCCACTGGTTGCTGGGCGCCATCTTTTTTTGGTAAAAAAGCGCTTCCGGTGAGCTTTTCCGGGTAGAAAGCTCACCGGAAGCGCTTTTTCGTCATAAAAAGATGGCGCCAGCACTTCCGGTGAGCTTTTCCGGGTAGAAAGCCATTTCTACCTGAAAAAGCTCACCGGAAGCGCTGGCGCCGCCATCTTTTTTGACGAAAAAGCACTTCCGGTGAGCTTTCTACCCGGAAAAGCTCACCGAAAGCGCTTTTTTTACCAAAAAAAGATGGCGGCGCCCAGCAACCAGCGGCCCGGTAAGGCTTGTTCCGCGGCCCGGTACCGGTCCGCGGACCGGCGGTTGGGGACCCCTGATGTAGAGTATTTGAGCGAACTACACTTGCCTTCTGCTTCAGAGTTTGGCCATAACCTGAACCCACTGTGTCTCATTCTAAAACTGATGATTTGACCTTGAGACATAAGTTCTGAATCAAGAGCTCATCCCTGATCTACTTGGACTGGTATGCAGGAAATACGTTTTCTGTTCAGACCTTTATCTGAAGGCCTTTCTTCACCACCGTTGGATTTTCATGTAGAAGGCATGTTAGTCAATGGAAAAACATGTTTGCTCCAAAATTGCAAACCAATTAAAAATAAGAAGCACTGTCAGTCTGTCTATTGGTAAGCCCATTTTGTACTGATGTTCCAGGAAAGTGGAAGAGGCTCCCAGATTTATCAGTAGCAAATAAGAGCTCAACTTCCAATAGTTTTTCTTTATTTTGGTTCTCAACGGATGTGGAACCACATGAAGAATTATATCTTTATATAATAGAACCCGACAACCTGTTTTCTTTTCCAAATCCCACATACTTATATATTTTAGTTTCAAGAAAAGACAAATTATGCTCTGAAAAATCAGCAACATGCTGTTAAATTTCAGTGGTATAATTCTAAGGATGCAGGGGCTGTAGAAAGTAGCCCTTGAGGCACATATTTTTTCCACATTCTTCATCTGGCCTGCAGACAAAATGTAACAGCTTCGTTATGGATGTTTGAAGCTGCAAAGAATGCACTTGTGAAGTTTGAGTTTTTCTGCCCATACTTCTCAATTCTTAAAAGATTATCTCATCAAGTTGTATGATTCTAATATTCCAAGAACCATAGACTGAAAATTAAAAATGAGACATCTGAAGGTGTCCAACATTTTCATTTTGGAATCTATTAGAAGGAATTTTTAAATTATAAGAGTTTAGGTACCTTTGTGCTGTATAACCACATAATTTTAAAGTTGTACGTATCCACTGAAGAGCGGGAACAACTCATACACATAAATAGTTGCTAAGTTAGTATTACAAAAAAACCCCAACCCAACAGTTTTGTTTTGGTTCACATGTGAACATGTATACACGAACACACCACACACACACACACACACACACGTTGGGGATTGTTTTTGATTATTTTTACTCATCCAAAGTATGTGTGTATGACTTCTGGATTGGAAACTACACTCCCAAAAAGTGACAGAATCAGGACTTAACTTTAATTTAATTTTCTAGACTGAAAAAGAGCAATATTCAAATCTGCTATCATGGTACAATGCAATGTCATATACCTTTCTGCTTTCAATTGTATGCTACACCAGCTCTGGGATTTCTTTTCCAAATCCCACATACTTATATATGGAAATAAGACCATGGACACAGAGCTTTAAGCATACAATTCCATGCACAGAGATCTGAGTGGATAATTTTCAAAGTAAATGAATAGGCAAAATCTTTGTTCTGGTTGTTGTTATTATTTAAAAATCTTTTAATTAAAAAAATAGAACTTTCACACAAGTATTTTCTACTTACAGCGCAGTAATTAAGGCAAACACCATTAATACAGTGCTTGAATTTTTTTATTGCATTTATTTAAACAAGCAGCAGTTATTCCTAAGTGCATTACATACAAAGTGTTCCAAATATTGGTAGGGGCAAATTCCTGACCTGTTGGGTGCAGCCTCCATTCACATCAATGCAGCAAAACATGGGAAATGATTGAGAGCGTATAACACTATCTGTTGGTGGCTCTTGCCTGAGTTGCGAAATGTCATTACAGAGAATAACAGGGCTATGTTCTTCCACAAAGTGCATAGATTATGGAAATCTACATTTCTTTCCCAGGCTTATCCAGTCATAATTCTGTTAGCAGAAACACAATGCTCATAAAAGCTCAGTTAACAGTCCTCCTCAACCCTGGCAACTTTAAGGCTTCAATTCTTTATTGGCTGGGGGATTCTGCGAGTTGAAATCCATTCATCTTAAAGCTATCAAGGCTGAGAAATACTGTTCTATAATATTCGGGAATGCAGTGTACGTGCAATACATTTTCAGAATTAGGTACGGCTCATTCTGATACATTTTGAATCCTATTGTACATAGATTGAATATGTAACCAATATGTAATCAATGCATAATCCAATGTTTAAATAATTCATATTCATGACCTCTGTTGCATATAAGAAAATCCTAGATACATACATACATAAGTGTGTGTGTGTGCGCTGTATGCCCACATACATACACCATATGTAAATTTATATAAGAGTATATCCAACAGAGCCATGCAGTTTATTTTGAAAGCAAGTATTTAATTTGGAATACTTGAAGGCATGAATCTATCATGCCTTAAACCAAAGGCATATTTCCAGGAAGTGCCTGCACAGGACAACTGCCTGATCCCAGAAAAACCAACAGCTATATGTTAAGCCATTGCAGATGAGCTACATTCACATATTTGTACAGTAAAGCATATTTTTGCCTTTAAATCTGAAGTGCTGCTCAGCCCTGATTCCTATTTATGCAGTCATGATGGCAGAACATCTTCATTTGATGCCAAAGGCCATATTCTACCATCCCAACATATGCCAAAGGCCATATTCTACCATCCC